ACTTAATCCATAATTAGACACTAATTACCAAATACAAACGAAAGTGCTACAGTAGCCAAAGCCAAAAAATTTTGCCAACTGAACGCACCCTAACACATCACATAAAATGTCGAGGCATGTTTTTTCTTCACTTCACTGGAGGTAAGGGGCTGTTTAGTTCCCCTCCAAAACGCTAAATTTTTCAAGATTTTTCGTCACATCGAATCTTTGGACGCATGCATGAAGCATTAAATATAAATAAAAAATAAAACTAATTACACAGTTTAGACGAAATCCACGAGACGAATCTTTTAAGCCTAATTAGACTATGATTGGACACTAATTACCAAATAACAACGAAAACGCTACAGTGCGTTTTGCCAAAAAATTTGGCTACTAAACTGGACCTAAAGTGGAAACACCAGTGCAGTTCTGAACATCGATTTTTGTTTTCCGGATGAAAGAAAGTAGGAAACCTGCTGTCTGAACATCGGGTGTCGGTAATTCTCAAAGCAAAACAGGCATCCGGATTATGCGTAATCATTTGGGCCGTTCTGGGAGCTGAAAGATCCGGTCCATTAATTGATTATGATATCTTGTGGCCAGGCGCTAGCGGTTGCTTTTTTGCAGACAGGTTGAGAAGACAAGGCGAGGTCGATGACACAACTGAAGTGGGTACCGGTGGGCCAGACCATGTGGCCCTCGCCATTGCGAGCAGCATGGCAGGGGCACCGCGCAGCAGCAGCAGCAGGAGCAAGCGAGCGGCCTGGGCGCCTGCCTGCGTCGACCTGCCATGCACGTACGTGCGCTGCTGCTGCTGCTGCTGGGTGGCATCGGCACTGCGCCCAGCGTCCAGCGCCCAGTGCGTGTGCGCGCTCACGCTTGTGACACTATCTTCGACGACAACGTCTAAAATACCAGACCCATTGAGGAGCGCTACAGTCTAAGAGTTTAATACTCATTCGACATCATCTCCAACAATATGATTGGATCCTTTCCGCAAATGGGTTTTCAGGAAAGATAATACTTATATCTGGATTGTGCCTCTCAAACAATCCAAAATAGATCTCCCATATAGGTACTCTGTTGGATGCTAATTTTAGATCTCCTACTGCCTATTTTAAGTTTGGATGGCTATATAGATCACCTATTGAGTCAGTCTTATGGATACAGATGCAGATGCTGTGTGTGCATCATGCATGCAAGCAGCTGCAGGCAGGCGAGCGCATTCGCACAGGCACAGTGCATGCCAACAAAAATTGGACGAGTGGCCAGTCGCGGCCAGGCCAGCTGACCTGCTGATGAGCCCCGCCCGGGCTGCATGCGATGCGTCGTTTGCACTATAACCGGCCGGCCGGCGGCTGCTCCGAACTGGCCGGCAAACAGTAGCTATATCGGGCAAAGTCTTTGCCGCGCCATTTCTGTCGGAGCGCGTTTTTGGCTTGGACGAAGCGCGCGGACCCGTGTGTCAAAGGCAGTGGAGTGAGTGAGTGATTCGCCAGAGGGCTCGCGCGTTGCTCTACCTCTCGGCCGCTCCGCCTGTGGTGACATGCATGCCAGATGCCACGCCATGGAGAGCTGGACACTTGGGAAGAGCAGGCAGGTGCTGAGCTAGCTGATCAGAGTGTTTTTAGGCCTCGTTTGTTTCCTCGTTCTAAACTTTACTCCCTATCACATCAGATGTTTAAATACATAAAAGAAATATTAAATATAGATAAAAAAATAACTAATTATACATATTGCGACTAATTTATGAGATGATTTTTTTAAACCTAATTAGTCCATGATTTGACAATGTGGTGCTACAGTACATACATGTGCTAATGACGAATTAATTAGACTTAATAAATTCGTCTCGCGAATTACTGAGAACTTGTGTAATTTATTTTATTATTATTATTCGAACATTTCCATATGACACCCCTAAATTTTAGCTCTAGACTTAAACAAGTCCTTACTGTTAGTAGAGCACGTTGAGAAAGCTGCAACCACGACTTGGGCGGAGAGGAAGCTATCTACTGGGCTGTCGGCTGTGTGGACTCTGAAGTTTTATTTGCTCCGGCCTCCGCACCGCCCGGTAGTAGCAGTAGTTTTGTAGTCATGCATTCAGAACATTTGCGCCAACAAAGCATGCACATATAGGTTACGAAGTGAACAGCTAGTAGGCAGGGTTAGTTCGTTCACATTGATGCAATCCCCTTTGGATTCCGGAATTCTCTTTATTTTTATTTAGTTCTTCTTATGAATTTGTAACTGGGTGCAGTTTTCTTTAAAAAATTTTATATACAAGAGATATGCACATTGAGGTGGCGTTTGTTTGTGGGCTTGTGCGCGCGCATACACAACTATGACAGCACGATATCTTGTCATTAACACAGAGGCTTTGTTAAACACTGCATACATGTACTCCTGGAATGGAATATGGCTTTGCGTCAGGAACCTGGAAGTCTGGAACATATGCTACTAGCATCAACAGTAGCCGGCACTGTAGCGGCTAGCTAGGTGGACGCGCGCGGCGGCGGCATGCAGTGCGAGGAGGGTGAGATGGCACGCAGAGATGGGTGCATGCGGCATGCCGCTCGTGTGCGCGGCACGCGGCTACGAGGGCTTGGGCGCCAGCGCCACCCGAGGCGTTTGTCGGAGGCTGCTTGTGCTGTGCCTGTGTGTGTGTGTCTCAATTGGAGTAACGCCAACCTCGTATATGTTCGGTCCCCGCCGGGCGACATGCATGTAGTATACTCCTACGACGCACGGTACGCCTATACTAGCGGCAGCGCATCCGTGTCTGTCTCCGACCAGACCGCCCTATTGCATTGCATGCCTCCTATATTGAGGGGTCGGGCCCCGGCCCCGGCCCGGACGGCTCTCCCATGCCCATGCGTGTCTCCTGCGTCAACGCCGCACTTCGTAAAACCCGGAGCGTGAACTACGTATAGGAGAACAAGCCTAGCGGCACAGAGCCCGCATTGCCGACTGCTACTATACTAGGAGTACTCATCCTCAGTTGAAATGAGTCGATGATATCTTCTGAATCATGCACACAGGAGTATAAATAAATTGTACTGTATAATACTGTACGTATTGGATAGAGATCACTAACTGTTTGTTATAAATTCATGTCGCGCGAATTGCCACTGCTGTACTAGTGTCACTCATTCAGCAAATTCAGCATCAGCAAACAGTTTGATCTGCGTTGCGTTGCCAACTTTGCGATTGCGATGCAGTAGTCTGGTCTGGAGGTAGCAGTACCGTAGCAGTGCTTCGTTGCATGCATTAGATTCTGGTCTGCGGTGGCGTAGCGCCGTAGCGTGGTGACCTGCATGCACAGGCGCCAGCAGTGGGCTTTTCATCGGCTGGGAAAAGCTGAGGCGCGAGTCCGCATGTTCGGGAGTATCGTATCGTGGATTATTTACTGCTGGCTGGTTTAATGTGAGAAAAAAACACTGTTTTTACGATCGTTTACGAGCCAGCGAACAACCTGTCTGTTTTCATGGATTTGGATTACGCCCTGGATTGACGTCCATCCGTCCACCATAACGCCGGCCCGCAGCATGCAGCGGGGAGGAGCAGCGGCAGCGACCAGCGAGGGGGGCTACAGCCTCTCCGCGCGCGGCCTAGCTATCTCTGAGCCCTGTACATTTTGTCGCAGGCGTTGAGATCCCTCTGCGCCTGTTGCAGCAGCAGCCAGCAGGGGCAACCCCTGGCCGGTCTTCAGCCATCACTTAACTCTGGCAGGGCAGTGAGTAGGACAAGACAAAGTAGCGGTCGCACCCGTATGCCACTATGCATGTGTCAAGTGTTGCTTGCTTCGGCTTGTGCTTGTGCACCCACCTCTAAATGCCGAGCAACTGCAACTGCACTGCACTCCATCGTCGATCCGTTTCTGACGCCGGGCAATGCCGCGCCGAGCATTCGGGGGTGTTTGTTTTCATACTAAATTTTTAGTCACTGTCGCATCAAATGTTTAATATATACATAAAATATTAGCTTGCGATTAATTCGTGAAACGAATCTTGTAAGCCTAATTAACCTATGATTTGACAATGTAATGCTACAGTAAATATGTGCTAATGACGGATTAATTAGCTTAATAAATTCGTCTCGTGAAATACTAACGAATCTGTAATTTATTTTTTTTATTAGTATCCAAATGGCATACGGACTCACTCATCTCCTAAATTTTAGTCACCCCAGCAGCAGCTGAGCTGCCCCCTACCGGCTACCGCCGCGCTACGACCCTCTCACTTACACCGAGACGGGTTCCGGCGTGAGGATCTCAACACCCTGCCCCTGCGCCTGCGCGGCTGGGCTGCGCCGGCGGCCGCGTCCGCAGCTGCAACTGCCAACCAGCTGGGCATCGCCAATGCAAAGCGGCACGCGCGCCGGCAGTTCCGGAGCTGAAGCTGAGCAGCTCTGGGAACGAGGGGAAAATGGCCAGTCGTAGCGGTGTAGCCTTTCGAAGCTGCCCTTTCAGCCTTCACCAAAACGCAGCACTGTTCTGGGGTATGGAATTCTGGGGACACCAACACGCACCTGTATGAGTATGATTGGCGCGCACATATATCAACCCTACCATACATGGATTCTCAGTTCCATCCCTGTAGTGATACTTCAGCAGTAAAGAACCGTACAGTGCAGAAGAATGGCAGCAACAAACCAAACGTGAGCTCTATACCGTGTTGTGTGATTACCGCCAACTGTTTTGTTATGTCCAGGTGTAGTTTAATATGACAGGATACCATTTATTTATGAAAAGAAGAGGATACCATCCGTGGAAGGAGAAGCTGGTCGGCAGACAAGCTTAGAAATTATAATCATGTGGTCTTGATTAACTGGGATACTAGAAAATCTTGTCAGGTGAACATATACATGCTACAGAATGAACGGCGTCAGATTAACGGACATGATACATAAACCATCTCCGCAACAGTTCAGTTCTGTGTTTCTGTTGCAATTCTGGGGCTCAACCACAGTTCTAGCTGAACGAACACAGCAGCGCTTCAGGCGCAAAAGAGATCGGTTCACTGCAACTTGTTGGCAACGTAGAGGAGGTGGCTGATGTTCGTTGGCGGGTAATTCTGCAGAAGCTTGAGGTTGGAGGTGAAATCGCCGGCCAAGAGGCGCTTCCGGACAAGGATCAGCATTGCACAGCATATTCTGAGCAAGGTTTCCTGTGTTCGGCAGATAAAGTTTAGGTAAAGAACCAGAACCAAAGATCTTTGCAGAGTAGAATAAACAGTGTGTGTGTGTGCGCGGGCTCACCTGGGGGCCATCGGGATCACTTAATAGCGTGTCCCAAATGTGAATGGTGTCGGCAAAGTTGAATTCCTGGGTCAGCAGTAACGTTATCCATCTGAATGCATAGAACTGGGGATTAACCTGCAGAGAGCATGTTTTTGTCAACAAAAGCTGCAGGCACCTGCCTTAAAACAGTTTGGTATGATGCTTTCAAAAAAGATGACACCCTCAAAAAAAGGAACAGCTAAACTATTTGAAGACATACGCCATAAAGAAGCACCTGTTATGTCATTATTATCATTACAGCAGATATATCATAAGAACTTCAAAGTTTAATTCATGTCAATAAGTGACCTGGAAGGCCAAACAGAAAACAATCCTCAAGACAGCAAGTAGCTTGGCACTACGCAGCATGTAAAGACTTACTTCTGTAGTTATTTCCAAATGTTGTTGGAGTTCTCGATCATACTTTGCTACAAGCTGTGATAACTTGGCTAGTGTACCTCGAATGCCAACAGCACTGTTGTCTAGTTTCTGGCAGAAGTTGTCTCTAAACCCACTAAGCAGCTCAACGAAGCAAAAGAATGAATCCGCTTCCGCAAATTTCTACAAGGATTCCAAATAGCAACATTATGATACAGAAGATAGTAATGACTAAACTAAACAGGGAAGCTTCGGCTATCAGCAGTACAATGAAGGGCAATAAGAACTTGGTAAAAACAATCTCTTACACCATACAGCATTTTTATCATCTGGATCACTCCGAAATACAAAGAAGAGCGGTGCCAAAATTTCATTCATCCCTTGTACATATCTTATTCCAGCATTCAGCTTGGCAAAGATTAGCAGTACATTTTTCAAAGATTCCTGGTAAGAATAATAAAAAGAAAAGATCAGACAGGGATCTGACAACACTGTTTAAACTCACAGTGTGTGGAGATTTACCTGATTCGACTTTGCAAAAGATGAGTCGCCACAGAAAAAATGCATGTCAGGGTGGGTGCGCTTTACATCGCGGTCAATCTGCTCCATAATCTCTGAGTACTGTTTTATGAAACAAAAATTCCAGACAGCATCAGTTACCAATAAAAAATCAATAAAGGAGGGCAAATCAGTTCGCACATGCAACGAACCCAACAGCATATGTGCAGCTACGCACTGCATGCATGCACACTCAGACAGAAAGCTGTTTTTTTCTGAGACTAAATGGCAAGATAAGCTGTGGAATAGTTGGCTCAAAGATTTCTTACATCGTTTTATTTTTCTCTAACCACAATGAACCTAGATTGTGAAGCAGGAATAATGAAGTAAGCCAATTGCATTATCCAATTGCACTTGAACAGTGCATGAACAGTGAATGCATCAGTGCAGCTGGAGCAGGTGGGAGCCCTACCAAACGGGGCCTAAACCAAGACCACAGAAAGTGTGGTTACCCACTTTGGGTGTACTGAACCTCTAGCCATACTATAAACATAATGATAAAGAGTTATAGCACCACAAAGGCGCCTATATACCTCAAAAAACTGATTCCAAGCACTGGTCTTCCCAAGGCTTAAAGGGTGCTCCTCTCGTGTTACCTCTGACCTGTGCAGGAACCCATTGTCAACATCCTCTGCACTTACGTTGTGGTGGCCTTCTGTTTGCACCTGTCGCGCTATTTCTACCTACCTAGCAAATTCAGGATTCAGGATCTCTATTTTCGGGAGAGGATCTAGTCAGGCATTCGTGGCCATAAACTAGATACCATATGTGCAACAAAAACTGCAACCAAGATACCATAAGTATGACCTGAATCTGCAGTGACTTACAGGGTTTCTAAGGAACTCATCTTTGAAAGCAGCGTACTGTGCTCTCTTCTTTGCCAGCTCCTGCTCCCACAGCGAGCGGTCATTGGGCAGATAGCCCAGTAGCAGCTGCACAACAATAACATGCACTGTCAGTGACTGAAAAAGGCAAAACCAAAAGCTTTGACTGCAACCTTTCCACTACTGACGGAATCAGAATGCTTCTTCAGTCTTCGCCATAGGGTGAAGAAAAAACAAGTACAGTTTCAGCCGGTATTAGCATCCAAAGCAAAAGGATAAACTAAAATGTCCTAGAGAAAAGGACTGATTAGAGGACAATCATACAAATTAAGGCCATCCTACATAGAAAACTATTCGCTTCGCAGCAGATTGCAGTACCATTGCCTCAATGAGGTCAGCTTCTCAAATACCGAAGCCTCTGATGCTCATGCTCTGACCACAGAACAAAGGCTAAAAATACCGGAAGCTCGAGCCAATCAATTACCTTCCACACAGTTGCCCGGACGCCCGCCGCGTCTGGGACTCCCTGAGCCGCCAGCATCCTCAGTTCATCGAGATCTATCACCTTCTTGGACAACTGCAAGAGTCCAGCGCCCCCAAGGACCACTAAGCCAGAAGGCAACGTACCAAAAACCAAGAAGCACGCAAAAGGCAGGAGGTCTTACCGCCGCAAAGAGGCGGGACTGACGAGAGATCTCGAATTCCGGCGTAGGCGCCGGCGGAGGAGATCGCGGCGAGCTCGCCATGGATTTGGGCGTCGAGATGCACCCGTCGGTGTGGCCTCAGAAACGTGCCGGTTGGCCACATACGCATCCGGATCCATCTCAGACCGTCGACTTGTGGGCCCCATGGAAATATACCGTCCAGATCGTCCGCTGACTTTTTCGTGCTAATGTACGACCCAATTCGCATACCCTTTCACGGGATGGGCCTTCCTTGATCCAGAGGAGTGTGCATTTCCAGACATAAATAGCCCAAGTGGCCAAACCCAGCCAGTTGAAGATGTCTTAATGGGCAATTGGGTATGGGCGTATGGCCCATGTAGAAATACAGGCCCACTAGCTACGAGGCTTATGCTTCATTTTAGACACTTGCTAGCGCTTGGACATCCGATCCGGGCGCTAGCGTTCGGACAACGCCCGCACAGAGAGAGAGAGAGAGAGCGCTAGCGCGTTGGGCTCGCCCCGAGCGCACCAGCAGTGGGCCGCACGCCGCCACGGACGTCGCCCACGCCGCCCCAAGCGTCGTCCGCACCGCCAGCTGCTTTCCACACGCATCCCATGTGCAACACCCGATATATTTTTAAAACATCTAGATATAGCAGTTGCAACATAAATAAAGACAAATGAAACACTTGAAACAAACGTCTGAAACACTTGCGAAAATACCTGAAAAACATTTCAAAACCATTGCAAACATATGCAACATCACGATGAAACACTTGCAAACATACCTATGAAACACCTGAAAACACTTGAAACATATGCTTGCAACATGCATGTATATGCAACATCTAGATTTACTTTTGCAACATTCAGATAAAACATTTGTAACATACGTCTGGACTAGATGAAACATTTGGAACATACTATTGAAACATACGTGTATAGCCATTTTAACATGTGCAATATCCCGATCTACTTTTGCAACATTGATATACAACGCTTGTAACATATCTCTGAAACATCTGGGACACTTGAAACATACTTTTGCAACACGCAGTTTTCAACCGTCTTCTTTCGTACGACGCAACACAGAGCGGGGGAACGGTCGATTCCCGCAAGCCGGTGGCCGAGGATGATCGCACAGCTTGGCAGCAGCCAGCTTCGCCTCCGCCTGGCTTGAGTCCGGCCAGCAATGACCCCCTCTCCTGGCCGCCTGACCACACGCGACGACCGGAAGGAGCCATCGATCTCGGCGAGGTCGGAGAGGATGCCCGCAAGGAGCAACGGGGACGGTGGCGCAGTGGCGGGGTGCGGGGACGGGGAGCAGCGCGTGCGGCGGCGGCCCATCGAGGTTAGCGGCGGGGAGTCAGTGTGGGCCGGTTGACGAGCGGGTGCAGGAACGAAGTAGCACGCGTGCTCTCGTACGAGCAGGCAGCGGATGCGTTTCCTGACTAGAGGAAGGAGAAGAGGAGCTAACGTTCAGGCCCACGTGTAAGAGAAGAGGGAGGGAATAAGTGGGGTGGCCGATTGAGCTGATAGCCATTCGGACTAGGCAGAGGTATCGAGTGCAGACCAGAGCATCTGATTTTTTTAAAGATTTTCGGACGTATGTTTTGTAGGATTACCGTTTATTTTACCTTATAGATAGACATGATTACCGTCAACGTATAGAAGGCCAAAGATTTAAAAAAAACATATAGAAGACTGTAGTACCCGTCAAAAAAAAAAACTGGAGTTTGACGTCACGGTTGCTAACGTGCTGTAACTTTGTTGTGGATAAAAATATCGGTTATCTAGCATAGAAAAGTTTCTTGTTAGTAAAAGAGTGTGACTATTTTTCATGTCACGGTCATGGTCTGGACGTGAAGCAACGAAACAGCAGAAGAGAAGAGCATGGAACTGAGCAAATGACAGCATCCTGTGTTCCCGACTTCCCGGTTCAGATCGACCAACCAACCACGCATGGGCAGCGAAAATATTATGTTTCGATCGAGCTGGTTCTTGTTGCCTTGTTGGGAGCTCCTAAATCCTTCTGTTTGCTGTGGAAACTTGCTTATGAGTGAGAGGGTGCCACGATGGGGACGACAACTATCGCTCTATTCGCTTGGTTTATAAGTCGTATTTTTTCAGCCAACGAATATTATTTTCCTCTCACAATAAATCACCTTGTAGATAGACATGATTACGGTCAACGTATAGAAGGCCGAAGATTTAAAAAAAACATATAGAAGACTGTAGTACCCGTCAAAAAAAAAGACTGGAGTTTGACGTCACGGTTGCTAACGTGCTGTAACTTTGTTGTGGATAAAAATATCGGTTATCTAGCATAGAAAAGTTTCTTGTTAGTAAAAGAGTGTGACTATTTTTCATGTCACGGTCATGGTCTGGACGTGAAGCAACGAAACAGCAGAAGAGAAGAGCATGGAACTGAGCAAATGACAGCATCCTGTGTTCCCGACTTCCCGGTTCAGATCGACCAACCAACCACGCATGGGCAGCGAAAATATTATGTTTCGATCGAGCTGGTTCTTGTTGCCTTGTTGGGAGCTCCTAAATCCTTCTGTTTGCTGTGGAAACTTGCTTATGAGTGAGAGGGTGCCACGATGCGGACGACAACTATCGCTCTATTCACTTTGTTTTGTTTATAAGCTGTACTTTTTCAGCCAACGAATAATATTTTCCTCTCACAACAAATCAACCAATAGTATTTTCAGCTATGGCTTATCAGCTAAGCGAACATGACATATACATACATATATATATATATATATAGAGAGAGAGTATATTCAGTAGGCAGCTACAAAATAAGTTAATCTGTAGCCACTTCCATTTATGATAATTTTATATACTAATTTACGATAATGTCAATACATATTTACGATAGTTGGGTTACTATAACATATAGGGATATTTACCATAACGTATTAACATAGTAATTATAGTAACTTAAAGTGACTATAGAATAAATTATTTTATAGCCAGCTATAGGGTAGTATCTCTCTCTCTATATATATCTATTATAGTAACTTAAAGTGGTTATAGAATAAGTTATTTTATAGCCAGCTATAAGATAGTAGCGCTCTCTCTCTCTCTCTATATATATATATATATATATATATATATATATATATATATATATATATATATATATATATATATATATATATATATATATATATATATATAGAGAGAGAGAGAGAGAGAGAGAGAGAGAGAGAGAGAGAGAGAGTAGTCAGTGCGAGATCAGAAGCAGCGAGCAGATAGGAATGTCCCGCAAGAAAAAGATAATATATATATATATATATATATATATATATAGAGAGAGAGAGAGAGAGAGAGAGAGAGAGAGTAGTCAGTGCGAGATCAGAAGCAGCGAGCAGATAGGAATGTCCCGCAAGAAAAAGATAAGGATAATACAGCATATATACACTCCTATGTAATAATAAGATAAGTTGCGTAGCCAAGTCAGAGGGTCATCGCCGATCTGGTCATGTGTACGAGTACCCGCATGCAGTCGTTCAGAGGTACACAGATGTGCTGGAGGCTTGGCTGGCTAAGTGTGTATTGACACCCTAGAGAACAAGTCAGCAGAGTGGATAATCCATTTTGTTTTTGCAAGTTGCGGTGTATCTTAGTTACCTGAAAAAATAGCCAATGTCATGGAGCTCGTCACGTCTGCTAACCTCTATTCCTGGTATTCCCATTACGTAGGTATGTACATAAAGCGTCGAACATACTCCTAGAGCAAGGATGCACAGAAAAAAGCAAATGAATTCTGAAAATCGAGGTAAAGATAGACTCAAACAAAGGTACATTTTCAATCTAGTTTTTAGCCCTCAACTATAAAACAGAGTAAAGAACCCTCACCAATTATGGATAAATTTAGTCCTATATCTAGTTCCATAGGTGGTTTTATACTTCATTCGTCCTAAAATACAATGCATCGAAAGTTTAAAATTTATCTCAAATTGTAAGGAGTACATACGTATCTATCTTTTACTAAACGCCATCTATGCATGCATCCATCATAACTTTTAAATACTATCTTGCCAAAAATAACTTATGTAATTGGTAGCCAAAATAAAAGACATGCATGATAACCTTTTTAAACTATGTTTTACCGGAAAAAAAATAAGCAAGTTAACAATTGAATTAACTAATTAGTGATGGGCAAATTAGTCTTTTACCAGACCCCTCATTTGGTCATAAAATTGCTTGGATAACTTGTTTCAAGGCGTAGAAAATATTATCTAAAAACAATAAAAAAGTTGGTTTTTTTATCTCTGATATTTCAAGGTTTATTTATTTTTAACTAGAAAAATATGAAACCAGTAACCTTTTAAAATGTTATTTACTTATTTATGATCTATATAGTTATTTGGAATTAGTTCATTTATGGTCCTATTGCTTTATCGCTAGTAGCCATGCTCATTATTTATCTAGAATAAATAAGATCCAAATAACTCTACATGTAGCACAAACAAATAGCTAACATTTCTAGAATAAAAGTGGAATTAGTTTCATATTTTTTATTAAAAAATATTTAACTATGAATTTTAAAAATCATGCTACTTTTTTATTGTTTCAAAAAGAAAATTGCAAAACCACTTTTGAAACCGGCTAGAGGATCAATTTTGTCCGGTTTTGATAGTTGGAGGGTGTTTGTTACCTTGTTAGAGTGAAAATCACTAACGTCCAACTTGGAATTTGAAAAAATATACTTTACCCAAATTTCAATGTTAGCGTATCTCACATATATATATATTTATGTGAAGTCTTCGTACATCATGATATCAATTACGGCATTGCTAGCGTCTGGACGTTCGTTCGGACGTCTATCCAATGGTTCCAGAACGAAGAAGACCCCCCGACCGACCCCTGCAGGATCGCTCGGGGGCTATACCCATCAGGTACACTCACGCGCACACTCTGGAGAAGAAACCCTGCTGAGCCTAGGGGGGATAGACTCACTCCCTCAAACGGCCATGTACCTGACCTATCTCGTTATATAAGGGATAAGGTCGGACCTAGGGGGGATGATCATCAAAAGACAGATCATTCCACTCCATTCTATTCCATTC